ACATCTTCTTGGCAAGCGCGGTGCGCCAGTTTGTACAGAATCAAAAAGGCATGAGAGGGTAGATGCATCAACAAGGTGGCTAGTCTAGATATTATGTTATGTGGGATGGATTCTCATTTTGGAGTAGAAGCGATAACTTTAAGTAATGATGCGCAAACGAAGCTGACATCCGAGCGTTCATCAGTTTAGGTTCTGCTCGAGCCACTACCACCTGAAGAATTCAAGCAATGATTTGGCCAGTTCTTATGCATGAAGGGCATCATCAGTACGCCGGTATATCACAACAGTGCGTCGCTGCCACATGCCAGCCGGGAAGAATGTGTGGTTACCCGAACCCAAGCAGACTCGAAACGATGGTCTGGGGGTGACAACATAGAGGCTTGAACCACTCGTTCGCCAGCCGGCAGGCTAGACATAGGGAGCAGAGTTAGCAGCTGTTGACCGTAAACATTAATGGGCCACATACACAACGGCATAAACACGTTATGGTTTAGTGGCTCATTCGTTCGCCGAGCTTAGCAATTTGTTTGCAAACGTTTCACCATCATGCGAGGTGGCATCCTCAGTGCGCTGATATGCCTAAATCAGACGAGAAAAAGGAGGCAATAAAAACCTTGAAGTCCGACGAAACGACCATCATCCTGCCGGCAGACAATGGGCGGATGACTGTTATAATGGATAGAGAGGATTACACTGAGAAAGTTTTAAGTCTCTTGAAAGACACAACAACCTACAAGTGCATCGAGATCGATCCAACCTCGCAGCTGACAAACAAAATAAACAGAATACTGAAACAGCTTCAGGAAAGGAACCAAATCACGTAGGAAAGCGATAAAATATGAGCCCGCGACTCGAACATCGAGCAATTCTATGGACTCCTAAAGGTACACAAAGATGGTGCACCGTTACGGCCGATCGTGTCACTACAAGGAACACCCACCTACAACTTGGCGAAAGAAATGTGGGGATGCCACAACCACTTGAACTGCGGATCGCAATATTCCATAACAAATGCCCAGCAATTTCTACAAAGCTTAAAGACCTGCGAATAAATGACGATGAAACAATGATATCTTTCGACGCGATTGCCATCTTTACATCTGTCAACTAACGAATTGCAACAACGGTCATCACAGAACGCCTGAACAGCAGTGAATAACCAATCGGGAACTTGATGACCGAAAATGTGTGCAAGCTACTCCGATTTTGTCTGTTAACCTACTTCTCTTTCAACGGTAAAATCTATGAGCAATTGAAAGGCGCGCCAATGGGATCACCTGTATCATGACTCGTTGTGGTGATGGGTTATGCAGAAATTGGAAGGGAATGTACTCCCACTCATTAATCCAAAACTGTGGGTCCGATTTGTTGACGACACCTTTGTGATCATTAAACGCAGTCAAGTAACAGTCGCACAGCAGCTATTGAACAACGCTATTGAAGACATCCGATTTACCATGGAACTGGAGAATAAAAGCCAACTGTCTTTTCTGGACGTATTAGTAACCAGAACCATTGAAGGGAGGCTGTAAACATCAGCTTACAGGAAATACACACATATGGACGAAATTCTGAACGTTAACAACAACCACCCGAAATTCCACAAATAAAGCTGTGAGTGGACATTTTTTCGTAGAGCCCAAACATACTGCAGTACTGCAGAGACAAAGCAACACTAAGAGAAGCATTTATGCAAAAGTTTACCACGCAACGGATACCCGCGAAGCTTCATCCGAAGGTGTCTGAACCACAACAACACAAAAAGACAGTTTACACCAACGACGGAGACACGGTTGCTTTGAGTTAGATGAAGAACATATCCGAAATGGCAACAAGACTATTCAAACAGCATCATCTCATCATAGCACACAAAGCAACTGTCATCTTGAAGAAAACCCTGTCAAAACCAAAAGAAAAACTGGAAGCGAATGGACACCGAAACGTTGTATATAGATTACGTTGTAGAAATTGCGAAAAAGATTATGTTGGCCAAAGAGGAGGAAAATTAGCAACACAAATTCAAGGGCAGAAAAGGCGTGTAAAAAGCACTATGCATCATCGCTAGTTTCAGCGCACGTAGACGCAAAGGAACACACCTTCGATTGGGCCAAAACAGAAGTCTTGGCACGTGGCGAAACAAGAAGAGAAAGGGAGTTCCTGGAAGCCTGGTTCTCAACAAAAGACTCAGTCAACATGCACCACGACATCGACCCAGCAAACCAGCCCCTCCGACGGAAAGAACGTGAAGAAAGTACCAGACGCCGCTTGAATTGGAACAACTCGAGCGAGGGCTTTCGCCGCGGGGAAAATGGGTAGAGATCATCAGGCGCAAATGGAAGCCGTCACTTTCAAAAGTCGCCTGCATGTCGATCACGGATCGACGGTTCAATCAGCGAGATTACACACCGCATCGCAGCGCACTGAAGATGCCACCTCGTATGGTGGTGAAACGTTTGCAAAGAAATTGCTAAGCTCGGCATACGAATGAGTCACTGGAGCATCAACCTGAGCTACCGGTGTTCCGGAAAATTGTAAACGTTATGGTGTGTCTGTGGTTAGTGAAATGCGCCAAGAGAGCGAATTTAAGCATCGGAACGTCTGATGTAACGTTAAAGTCGATAGTGTCCAATGAGATGGAGGTCAACGACGAAGGTGAAAACGGCCGCAACGCAGGGTGAGGAAGTCAGTTAGGCCAAGAATCCTTCCGACACTAATTCTACTACCCACTCACCATGAATAAATTTTAATGTCTTCGCATTACAAGAAGTGAGTAAAACTCGGCGAAAACTAGATGAGAAACGCTAATCAGCAGTCATGCAACCTAGAGCATAGGAGCAAACTGTTCAGCCAATACGACCAGAGGAATAGCAAGACTTGCATTTTCGATCACTGCACCCCAGCAAAGAAGATCCATCGACATACGATTGGTGAAAAAGTATCGAACAGCAGCTAGCTCAAGGCAGAGCGACAGAAGTATGTTAACCGCTCCTTACTAATAAGAAACAACGGGCAAACGTATCAGATAATATATAAATAAAAGGGAATACTTCCCGACATGTAGTGGAGCCGCCTCGTGCCTGCAATCCCATGGATGGGAACGCCACGTAACAGAACCCAAGTACGATGACGTAAAGTACATCATTCGTGCACAAAGTGAAACGAGGGAAAGTTACTTTACAATAAGATGACACATCATAGCGGGGCTCCATTGCAGGGTTGAGAATGGTTACCTGCACCGATGGAGTTCATAGTTACTTCAAGCCTTGTCTAACAATCTTAGGTGAGTATGCTTTGTTAGATAAATCAGTTGAAAAGTTGTGTTGGCAATTTAAACAACCGATCTACTAGTCTACTAAGTACCCAATGGCTCTCAATCGGACAAGGTGGGTCGGTAAGACACGCCCCAGGTGCCTTTCACGTACAACCGCGCGCGCCGAATAGAGAAATACATACACATGCAACTGGAGCCCGCCTACGGGTGTGAACGTTTACATACGGGTCATTTTGAGTGACTCATTAGCGTCTCAAGGACAAATGTGACTTCCGTCTGCAAGCGTGGAGGCGGTTTCCGGTTCATTGAAAACGAGGTGCCGACAACGGGAAAAGGCTGAATGGTGCGGCGGTATTTGGTAGACGTCGAAAATGTATCTACGGCCGAAGGTACACACGTGTTCGCTTCTTACTAACGAAGGAACGCGAGAACGCCTAAGGCCAAACAGGTAGTAGAGCATGCACTGCGAAGCCAATGATGGATACATCATGTAGGTGAGTAGAGAGTTGTGTTGCGCCGGGAAAAGCGCATGTATAACTGGGTTGACTTGAGGCGATGTAAAGAACTATATCACAATCCATAGGAAAGCAGGGAGTGTAACCAATGGACTACGTCTGTACGTCATCTAGGGAAAACCAGTGGAAAAGAAAAAATCAAATCAGAATGCTCATAGGGTGGGTAAATAATCGGTGGAAATATGCGATCGGAAGCAAACAAACAAATCGCAAATGGTACTTCGTATCTGGCAGGGACAGACAGCTTGGAATTCAACTTTCAGAATCATCTCACAAACGAATTTAATTGATCTCAAGTCTACCATCGTCGAACTGAAAAGACGTGATGGTGATGCAGAAAGCGTCTCCGTATCGTAAATTTTCAGGTAGTTTCCAGGATTTCATGATGCAGAATAAACAGACTGCTTACTGTTTAAGCACACCCAGTGGTTCCTAGCACGCTATCCACGCAACGTCTACCAACGTCTGCAGTCTTACGAGCAATTGCGATTAACTCTATCGTTTTGCTGCATCTGAGAGACCAGACGTAGTGTGACCCGCAGAGAAGTGGATGAATTCCGAGGTAATCGTCCAGAAAGTCAAGCTCAGTAGCTAGTTGTGCTTGCGCTACGACCGACTCTTGACTGCCTGCGGTGGCGTCTTGGTCCACATCCGGTCTGCTCTGTATGGGAGACTTGTGAGCGTTCACAAAGCGACGATAGCCAGTGTGAACAACTGCGACGCTCGAGTTATCTCAGACACAAAGAGCTGCGCTTGGGTACCGTTTGTCGCAATCCCCTGAGTGGTTGTTTGGATTGGCTGCCGCCTTTTCGAATCCATATGAGTCGTCCCCATTTTCTACTCATGAGTGATTACAATTGTCGTCGAGTAAGTTGGCATGAAGTCCAACTCATGCTCGGACATTGTGAGCTAGAAGGGAAGTTGGCGGAGGTGGTGGTTGAAAGTGTTTCAGCACAAGACATTCACCAACCGACACGCATAGCGCTGTGCTCAACTCCGTCGTAACGAGCCACGAACATGTGCATTATACTCGGATTGATGAAGGCCCTGACAACAATGCTCATAGCCAACATAAGACTGTTGTTGCCGTATCCCCGTCTGCTGTATCCAGTTTAAAACTAATGAAAACGGACTTCGACGGTCTTACTCGAATCGAGAGCCAATTGGATGGATTTCTGCCTCAAGATGCATCAGTGGAAGACTGTTAAGCAGTGAGATTGTCATGTTCTAGTTTTGTAACCCTGAAGTGTAGGAAAGTCGGACCAAGCAAGCCACATTGGTTTGACAAGGAGCATGGTAAAATGTCTCGGTGGCGGCGCGGACTTTGGGATAAATTCTTAATCTCTGGCTCCGTAGAGGACTAGGAAGTGTGTAAAAAGTAGCGAAATATATTCAACAATAAGAGAGTTGCATTAGCGGCGATCATCGCTTCCGTGTTTGCTACTTACCAGGTGTACGTACCCTGTTCGATCTGCACTGCCAGTATCACACTCAACAGCCTGGGTTGTGGTGCGGAAAAGGTGCACCAACTACTCGCCAACCTTGACGGCACTAAAGTTGCTGGCCTTGACGGACTCCACCCGCTGATTCTCGAGGCCATAACGGCCATCATCTCACTTTCCGTGATAGACTTGTTCAACAGGTCGCGCTCCAAAGGTTCACTGGCAAGCGATTAGAAAGGTTAGGCAGTACAGCTGATTCGGAAGGTCAGTAACGACAGCAAAGTGCACAATCACAGGATAATTTGCTGACCTCTATTTTGCCTAAGGTGGCAGGAAGGATAGCGAGAAAGGGTATACTACAGCAGTTTCTACGAAAAGGTATCCGTGGTAATAACTAGTCACTTGAGCAAAGCTGAGGAGCAGATCGTAGCCATGCTGGCCAATCAGGGCCTACGAATGAATCCGGCGTGCGTGATACCGGATAGCCACTTGAGTGAAAGGAAATTAATAGCATATGTCAAATTGGCCAGTCAGAGAAAGAAATCACGGTTAGCTCAGTGGCTAATCGGTGTGGCCAGAACACGAGGTAGGCACAACAGACCGGACACAAAGCGGAGCTGTCGTAGGCAACCGTGGCTCAAGGCAAATGTACGAAGATGGAGCAGAAGCCGACGGAGACGAGCCGTGCGTGAAATCAATGAGCGTAAAGTAACGCGAATTTCCATAATGGAACAATGGAACAATGGTATATGACGGGTAAAAAAGCATACACTTAACGAGTCCCGCAGGTTGGTAATAGAAATACTGACAAATTGGCAAACCACATAAGTGGTTGAAGTAAGGAGCGTCAGTGAGATAAAAGGTAGAAGTATAACAGTTTTAGGGGGATAAAGTGGTACGACGCAAAACTGGCTAAGAAATTGTTATCGTTGGTGATGGTAGCAAATCAAAATGAAGTACTCACCGGTTCGCACAGATTTACGACCGTGAATTTGGGGTATAAATCCAAAGAGGCTGGTCAGCCTAAATATATACAAGCGTTTTCGTTCATAGGAAGAGAAGGCGACCAATGTGTAGACAATGTCAAGAGACAACCATTCGCCATCTTTGTACAGCATTAAACGATGATTTGATTTTCAATAAGAGAGTTTGATCGTTGCTCAGACTTTATTTGAACTATCGCAGGGCTATTCGACAGCATACTGACGCACGCACAGCACGGTTTCATGCATGTCGTTCATGTGTTATCAATCTGATGATGAAGAGGCATGTATGATTGCAGGTAATTAACTAGTGGAAGTCTGTTGAGATGGTTTGCATCGATTTTAGTAAAGCGTTCGGAAAGGTGAACCAAGAGGTGCACCTCTACAAAGGGGGAATGTGCAATGTTGGTACTCATTGCACCAATGGATCCGGGAGTTTCTCAGTGGAAAATAATGGAGGGTTCAGGTTGGAGATACTCTAGCCCACTGGTATCTCTCTACAAGTGGTATGCTCCAAGACAGTGCTAAAACCACTTTGTCCGTCATCCACCTCAGTGATCGACCTTAACTTCTCCGGTAACCCTGCGACCTGTTCATGAACGACCTGAGGGTTTGGACAGTAACTGATACTTCCAATGCCTGAAGCCCACTTCAACATGACCTCAACTGTATCTCAAGATGGTCTG